AAGTAAATAAAAAACAAATTGCTCACAAAATAAATGAAATTTACACACTTAAAAAAAAAACCCACAAAAATGTTTTAAAGTCCCCCATCCCCACATAGATGCGCAAAAATGTGTTAGGTGCGCCTACACGCAAAAACGACGATTGCTCCAATTATGCCGCACATGTTACATATCGCAGCGAACGTCGCAGTGAGAGCAATAATTTTAGGGTCATCAATCACTGATAATACTAAACTGATGAGCAGTAAAATCTTTTAAAACGTCGCCTATGGCCAATTTTGTCTTTGGATTTTTTTTTTCGATTTCGCAGGTGGGCACAATTTTAAGGCTCGACATGTTTGGTGTCTATTTACCCAACGTGACCCCAACTTTTATATTTTACCAAAAAACTGGGTAATAATAAATGTTTCCTAACATAATAAAGGTAAAACCGTTTTTGTTTTTTTAAAATATTCGGTACTTTCTTTGTTATATAGTAAAAAATAAAACCACCAGCGGTGATTAAATACCACCAAAAGAAAGCTCTATCTGTCCCCAAAAAATGGTATAAAATTCATTTCAGTACAGCGTTGTATGACGGAATAAATGTCAGTCAAAGTACCGCAGCGCTGTCCGATGACCCATCTACGGGCGGACCCCAACCTCCCCCTTCAATGGGTAGACCGCATTACTTACCTGGGAGTCACCATCACAGCAGATGTGGGTGATTATTATAAACTACCCTTCCCTTACTCTCGACCACTAAACGCAGGCTCGAAGCATGGATGCACCTACCACTGACTCTCATTGGTCGCACCAATCTCATCAAAATGAAGGTGCTCCCTGTTTTGTTGTACTTATTACGCAATACCCCTACGTGTATCCCTAATGCCTTCTTTAGACAGATGCATGGAATCTTCTCCTCCTTTGTATGGAACTCCAGGACTCCGTGGGTGAGGCTTAGCCTTCTACAGGAGCCATGGACCCAGGGGGGTCTAGCCCTACCTAACCTTAAGAAGTATTACCAGGCGGGGCAGATGGTGGTGGCTCACCGTTGGCTGACTGCGGAGGAGGGGGATGCTGCGGTTGTAATGGCAGCAGCGTTGCTGGGGTCCTACGCCGCACTATCGGGATTAGTCTATAGGGGGGTGGGGGCACCCTACCCCCTGACGTCCCCTATGAAAACGACACTTAGCGCCTGGACTGATGTATGTAGGTCCCTTTACCCTGGCAATATAAACATGTCACCGCACGCCCCTCTGTGGAATAACCCAACATTGAGACATTTTATGTCTATCCCTGACTTTCACATTTGGCCGGAAAAGGGAATTAGGACATTGCGGGACCTGACTTTGGCTGGTTCACTTGCCTCCTTTGCAGAATTACAGGAGAAGTATGGTCTTCCTAATCGCTACCTGTTCCGATACTTCCAGCTGCGTCATGCCTTCCAGACGCAGATGGGGGGACAGCACTGCTCCCTCACGGTTACGCCCCTTGAGTCCGCGCTCAGGCGCGTAGGTCTCCGGAAACCATTGTCAACTGTGTACCAGGCCCTATCGGGCATGGCAGGGGTTCATAGACTCCCCTGCAAGGCGAAATGGGTATTGGACGAGCCGGATCTCTCCGATGATGCCTGGTAGGAGGTATGGGATTACCCCTTCTCCCACTTGGTGTCGGTTCAGCGCTGAATACTGAAAAATGGCTTGGACAGGAAGGGGGTGTAACACCCCGGTCAGCAAGTGGTTAATGTTATATTTACCAGACCAAAAAGGAGCAAATAGGAGAAATTCATTGCTGGGGTTTTCATGCACTTTAATTTATACTGAGTGTTCTTGTTCTCAAGCATGCTAATTATGTGATCAGTACCAGTACCCTCCGCTGATCATAATGATATATATATAGTGCAGAGACGTATGACTATAACCCCCATGGTTCTATATACTGGGCAGGAGGCAGTACCTAGGCTAAGGCAAGATGAAACAAAAAGGGGATAAGCAATCTGTCCCCGGAAGCTTACACTTTATTAGCAAAGTGTAACCGATACAAGAGGTGAAGGCATCATAACAGCCCCATCGTGTCATCTCTTTGATCCTTGTAGAGAAGGTATTTCCATTATTTCCAGGATTAAAGGGGCCTCTGGGGCTTCCCCGATGAAGGTTAGCTGAGCTGACCGGATAAAATCTATTTTTTTCCTTGTATCAGAGGCATTAATGCTGTGGGCATTTTCTGCATTGCAGATTTGGGGCTGAGCTTGTGAGGCTTTGACTTTATACCAGGTCCTCCTGCTATTAATCAATGCCCCAGTCAGAGGAGCTATTAATAGGCGCCTCGGGGTGTTCAGCAATGTGTTATCTCAGCTCCAGCGCAATTTCTACGGCTTCTCGCCATATGTCTGTTTTCTTTAGATCAGAAGTTATTTTTCGGATGGCTCCCCTTCTAATCCTCCGTCATGTTGTTTCATGTTAGGCGTGTGTATGTGTGATGTGTAATGTAATACTGATTGTGCCATGTAGCATGTAGTAGCGTAGGGCTATTGAATAGTACTATTCGCCTGTAGCAAGCTGACCATGGGTCAAACCAGGACATTGGCATTCAACATTCTACTACATTGCAGTGTACAGAAAAAGAGTGTAATGGTAATGAAAGGATTACTTGGGTTCAGCGCAATTGTTTGGGTGCAGGCAGTGGCGTCACAAGGGGGGTGCGGCCTGCACCCGGGTGACACCATTGCAGGAGTGACACCAAACTGACTGACAGTCATTTTGGTGTCACCCCCTCTAAAAAGTCGGGCACTCGGTCATGCACTGAGAGTGTCAGGAGAGAGGAGGGGACCCGGCGGCATACCTCATCCCACCGGGTGACTGTTTTCTCTCTGCCGGCATCCATCACCAAGATGGCCGCCGGCAGGCGTCACACCGCGCACGCGTGATGATGACACAACGGGGTGTCACCCGGTCTGGAGACTGGGTGACACCCGGCCTCGGAATGCCCCTGGGTGCAGGTATTTCTTGGCAAAGGACTGCTAGCTATGGCCACATACACCAGATGTTTAACATTCCTCTTTCCCCAGTATCACCTACTCACCTTCCCTTACTCCCCTGCTGCTCCGTTCAGACACTGGGTGCAAATAGAGGAGGCCCCCCTATTTGCTTCATATTGCATCTTAAAGGCTAAGTTTACCTTTCAGACCATGTCTCAAGTTACACCCACATTTAGGGTGGAACATGAATCATGGTCATATCTTACAGCAGGGCAATCCAAAAGTTGGCCTTTCACCACATCTGGAGGGTCGAAGTTTGCCTACCCCTGTCTTATAGTATCTTCATTGTTATTGCCAACTCCATACCTGACCAAATTTTCATTACCACCTTTTGTCTTCTCCGTGGTATTTCTGTTTACAGTACCAACATTTTTATCTCCCCCAAAGTCTAACTAGCTGCCTATTATGCAGCATTAAAGAGACATTAGAGTACATTTTCTTCCCTGCAGCGCTGGTTCCGGTCTCTGATCCAGTGCTGACTGCTGTCTTCTGTGTCCCACGGAGTCTGTGCAGATGCACGCTGCCGGCTGCCTGCATTGACTTACCCTGTGTGGGGTGTGAGCACTAAAGGGTGTGGCCACTGAGGGGTGTGGTCACTGAGGGGCGCTGTAAAGCTTTCTCGCACAGGGCGCCTAAAGGCCTAAGGCCGGCCCTGCTGTGTCCCTCCTCTTCTCACGGCCGAAGATCTCTACTGCGCATGCGCCCGCCCCATCAACCTTTGCAGCCGCCCGAGAATGTTCAGAACTTCGGACAGGAGCGCCCGGTGAAGACGCAGGTAAGTTTTAACCTGTTTGCTAACTTTTTTTTGTATGTGTTTGCATATATCTACTGCCTGCTATCAGTAGATATATGCAAAAAAAAACCCAGAGGGTTTATTTGTACATTAATGTATAGCTGTTGTATAATTAGACATGGTGGGCCATCTGTACAGAAATGCATTTCTTCTTCTGTCCCACTTACCCATTTCCTATCAATTCTGATTCACGTTCTTGTGTATAACTCTCTACAGTCCATCTTATTGTTTGTTACAATATGTAATGTTATATTTTGTGATTTCCCCTAAAATGTAAAGCCCCTAAGGGTTAGAGCTGTGCTAGTAAATAGTGAAAGTGATCAATAAATATATACAGATGTAGGATGTGGAGGCATTTGACAAAGTGGTGTGGCTCACTAGTCCATCTTATGAATACATTTGTACATATCATATACTTGTGAACCTGGAACAAATCTCAAATGGGCCACCGGCTATCTTCTCATAAGTCTGTTTCCCCTCAATAACATCAGGCTTAACGTCTTCATGTAAAAAAAAAAAATCAACACATAATTTGTGATATTCACACTTGTTATCGGAATGAATACATTTCCATAATAAACATTTTAGAGGCTGATAAGAGATAACATAATTAAAGGAAGGAAGTGGATGAAAGAATAAGTCTACATTGTTCAGGCACCGAGCTGGTAAATTAGGCACGTATCAGTTTTTTTCTTGGAACCCACAATCTCATGAGCCCAATAACAAGTCCTCCCCCTTCAATACATGGTGCTTTTAGACATTAGATGACATTTTTGGGAAATCAGGTACCAATCTTGTGTCTATGGGGTAGCCTCAGATGGTCCCACATGACTGTTCTGAAGGAGATAAGCTGATCAAACAGGTTAGAAAACCTTCTGATTGGGATTTCCTTCCCTTGGGATAAGCTTGTGTCGGGACAGTCTGCCGGGAGTGAAGCTGTGCCTCCATAGCCTGAACAGGAATGCGATGAAATGCTATGAAACCCTAGCAGTCCGCTTTTAGGTCCAAAGCTGGCACAGAAGGCATCAAGAGACAGTTGGACAGTCCAACCGTTCTATGATGTCTATGGCCAATTTTATGACCTAGATATTTTAAATTGAGCACTCCAAAATTCAACAGTATGATGGTCACTACTAATATTTAAGAAGCACAATAAACAGTGGACATCACTTGTACATCAGACTGTACCTCCATCACTATGCGGCCAAGGGGAATCCCGTCAGCGGTTATGTCAAAGAATACCCTTTTGTTTTCCATGATGAAGCCGGTCACGTTGAAGAAGCCTCTAAGATTCTGTACAGGGAGCTTGGTGTCCACTGCCTTATATACTTAGCTTACCAGTGGTGTGTCAGTCACACACAATAACAGATAATACCTCCCTCCCCTTCCCCGTAACAATGAACCCAAGAATATTTGATACTAGCTTAGGATATTTCCTTACTAATCCGGTCAGATATATTGTGGGTAGCACCAAATGCTATGTGATTAGGGAGGGGGGAGCAGAGAAGACAAAGCTATTTTGGTAACGTCATAACCATCTGATGACTAAACTTGTATTGTTCTGGCGCATGCCACCCGAAGTGTCCACCTTGTACAGGGACATTCCCGGATCTGAACCAAATCCATTGTCACTATCGTAACCTTTGCTGACCCTCTGTTGGGGCTTTTTGCTTTTTTTTTAAAAATGTACTGGCTGCACTGGAAATCTGCTTTGTCCCCACAGCCATAGAAAATATCGCTATAAACTTCTTTTGCATGTGACTTAATACTAGGTGAAGTTTTTGGCTATGCAGAAGATGATGAGTATTCAGATAACTGCCAAGGTATTTGACTGCCTCCTATATATAAATCGGGTGTCCCTCTGGGGTTCGAATAGAAGGACGACGTTCTTTATAAAGGGAAACTATATTATTTGTGTCGATTTTATTAACTTTTTGGAAATTTATGCTTTAAATGTCATGTAAAACAAATTTTGTTTCACAAATAAACATTTAGGACCCATTTATACCTATGCACATGTGTTGTAACTGCTTCTGTCATAGAAGCTGTGACAGAAGCTACAATCTGTCGAGTGCTCCATAAGGCGCGCCGGAATTCCCTGCGTCCTATGGTCCGGTGCGTCTTATGGACCGCAAAATACGGTACATAGGAAAAATTGAATTTCTACTTGAAATGTAAGTTCGTGCACTAAAAATAAGGTTTTTGTACTTGCTGTAAAACCTTTTTCTTGGAATGAGTGGAGTGATGGATGGCGCAGTGGTATAGTGGTTAGCACTTCTGCAGCACTGGGGGGACCCCAGTTCTAATCTCGGTCAGGACACTATCTGTATGGAGTTTGCATGTTCTCCCTGTGCTTGCTTGGGTTTCCTCTGGGTACTCCAGTTTCCTCCCACACTCCAAAGACATGCTGGAAGGTTCATTGGCTCCTATCTAAATTAGCCCTGTATATATACATGAGATAGGGACACTAGATTTTAAGCACCTTGAGGGCAGTGATAAATAAATAAGGGTTAATCTTGGAGTCCAAGATAGTGGAAAATCTTACACCAATAGGTTATACTACCACCTGCAGGAGGTTGGGACACTGGCAAAAAAAAAAGTTAAGCCAGCTTCCAATCGCCCAAAGGATAAAATGCAAAATATTAACAACCACTTACAAAGCCATCCACAACTCTGCCCCAAGTTACATCTCCAACCTTGTCTCAAAGTATCATCCTAACCGTCCCCTCCGCTCCTCCCAAGACCTCCTGCTCTCTAGCTCCCTCGTCAACTACTCCCATGCTCATCTTCAGGACTTCTCTAGAGTGTCTCCCATTCTTTGGAACTCCTTACCCCAACCTGTCCGCCTATCTCCCACTCTGACTGCCTTTCAGCGATCACTAAAGACTCATCTCTTTAGGGAAGCCTATCACACTTCAAACTAACCACTGAACTCTTTCTCAAACAATTCACCCCCACACAGCTGCCTCCTCATGTATCACTTGCCCCTCCCTCTTAGATTGTAAGCCCTCAGGGGCAGGGCCCTCCTTACCATCTTGTCTTGAATTGTATTGTAATTATGTCTTCCCTATATTGTAAAGCGCTGCGCAAACTGTTGTCACTCTATAAATCCTGTATAATAATAATAATGAAATACTCAACAAATTGTTAATTGGTTCCCCCAGGGATTGTTGAGCAATGTCAGCCCAGACCGGTTTAACACCTCATCTGCTAAAGCAGACCTTTTTGGTGCTGCTCTTTACGAATTTAAGACATGTATGTGTAGTTTGCATGCTTTAAAAAGTTTACATATTTTTCGACTGTGTGTCAGTTCTATTCCAGGACTGACTTGGTAGAGCGGGCTATTTGGATAGCGTGTCCAGGTTGACTATTAAACCAATTACAGATATCTGGAGTTACAATCAGTTCTGTATTCCACAAACCTGCCACTTTTACAGACATTTTATTCTTTGCAAAGCCATGAGAAATCTTTCTACTCAGTATCATGAAAGAGTTTGAAAGGTTCTACAAGTGATCGAACTTTAAAATAAGAATGACTGAATTTTCCTGACTGTTTCCTTCTTAACAAGACATGGGAGTAGAACCCTTCCCTCTCTTTCAAAACAGTCACTGAACAAATTAGCCCCTGATCCAGGAGTTCCTGAACCACTTTCGTCATCTTTAGAGCCTTGTCCTGATAACAAGAGGCGAGTCACTAAAAATCTTGAGGGAGGGATCTCCAACACTTCTATTCTGCACCCCCGGCTGATCAGAACAAAATTGCTGTCTATAACTTGTTGCCACTGTGGGAGGAACTCCCATAATCTTCCTCCCACCTTGGCTACCGTGTCATTGCGTCTTGCGGGGTAAAAAGAAAACCGCTTTTCCCTCTTCCTTTCTTGTAATCCCAATTTTGGTTCCTGAACTGTCTGTTCGCATGTGGCATCCCTTTTTTTACCCGGCGGATTCCGCTGTCCCCTAAAAAAAAGTTCCGATTTTGTTTTTGGGGAGAGGAAATCCTTTCTTCCGGTCTGCCAATCTATTTAGGACGGTTTGCATTTCTTGCCCAAATAGTAGGTCCCCAATGAATGGGAGTCCACAAAGTTTAGTTTTAGACGCCGCATCACCTTGCCAGGTGTTTAGCCACAAGTCCCTTCTGCCTAAGTTGATGAGAGCAGTGGTGCGGGCTGAAAATTGTACTGCTTCTACTGAAGCATCTGCAATGTAAGCCACGGCTTTTTCCGGGACTGGCAGGGAATCCGCAATAGTGGTGCTTCTGCAGGCGACAGGTGGATGTAATTTAATTTGAAATAGCCAATAGCAGACTGGCTATTGAAACCTCACCCACGAGCAGAGGAGCGAACCTGAGAGAAAGTTGTCGCTCAGTGGGCGGGTGCAATAGCCAGCCTGCTATTGGCTTTTGCAATTTGAAATAGACAGTGGCGCCATGGGGGTGAGTGGTCAAGGCTGCGCCCTAGGTAGCCGTGCACCCTAGGCGGCTGCCTACTTTGCCTAGTGTCAGCACCGGCCCTGCATGCATCCAAATGCTCTCTTAACTGGGTCAGCCAGACATCCAAAGTCCTGGCCATACAAGTAATGGCCATAGCTGGTTTGAATCCTGCCCCAGCTGCTTCCCAGGCTCTCTAATAGATTCCTCTTTTATGTGCAGAGCGTCTTTTAGAAACCCCATATCTTCAAACGATAAGTCTAAATTTTTAGTAAGTTTGTTTGCAAAGGGATGCGTCCACCCTTGGACATTTCTCCCAAACTTTACTATCCTCTTCTTTAAATGGGAACCTGCGTTTGAGTTTTGAAGAAACAAAACGCTTTGTTCTGGTAAAGCCCATTCCGTTTTAATCATCTCCAAGTCTGTGAAGGTTCTCATTCATCCAGGTCATGGTATACCTGTGAAGGTTCTCATTCATCCAGGTCATGGTATACCTGTGAAGGTTCTCATTCATCCAGGTCATGATATATCTGTAAAAAAATACATCAAGGAACAGGACTTGCTGTTTCATTGGTCATCCAACCAGCTTTCTCAATTCTGAACTGAGAAAGCTGGTTGGATGGCCAGTGAAACGTTTTGAAGAAAAATACAGCAAGTCCAGTTGCCATGACTTATTTTTTACAGACATATCCTTTAAGGATTTGTGGACTATAAACATGCAACCCTTTTTGACCTGCAAGCCCTTGTACAAGCTTCATGCACTGACAACTACTTGATCTTCTGCTAATCCTAGCGTACCCCAAACTGCTTTGAGAAGCTCGTTGGTCTCATGTGAAGTAAACAACTATCTGTTGTGACTAGACTCTTCTTCTCCTGACTCCACAGATTCCCCTTCTTCCGAGGCAGAGGAAGAATGTGAAACTTTGGTAGCCCTTTCCGCACTACTCATGTTACCTGTACCAGAGGCTGACTGAACCCCTGAACAGGAAGGTCCCTGAGCAACCAACTGTCTCCCAACCATTCCTACGTCCTGAATTACTGTGCGGAAAGATTGAAACGTTGTCACCATATCTTCCCTCATACAGTCTACTAGGCCCTTGAACAAGCCCGAGGATTCATCTACCACTAGCTTTCCTATGCAGGATTGGTTCAGTGGTTTTTTGGAAGGATACTTAACGTTGCAGGCAGCACATTTCTTGCTTTTTGTACGGTTACTGATTGAGGAAGGTATTCTTTTTCTTCAGAGGCCTTGGTCTACAAAACACAAAACCAGTCTCTGGTGAACATTCACTAAAAAAAAAAAATGTGACGACCAATTCCCTATGCATAATGAGACCCCATAAATAGGAGGATAGGGATGAAGATAACACCTTCTCCTACCTCAGAGGTGCTAGAAGTAGGATCCACCAGATCAGATAAAACTGCAGAAATAATTGAGTCAGCCCCTAGGGCCCTGCTAAC